GGATCTCCCCTCCTTCCGCCGCGCCCTTAAGACATGGCTCTTCCAACAAGCGGGATTGGCCTAGGGGAATTTTTAGTGGGGTTTTAAGAGTAATTTTAATTGACATAGGCCACAGTAAATATTTCATTTTAATTAGGTTTTAAACTGGGTATTTTTATTGTTGTATCTGTTTTATAAGGCTGTCAGCCGCCCTGAGTCCGTAAGGAGAAGGGCGGGATAAAAATTAAATAAATAAAAAATAAATAAATAGACTTTAACTTACCCAAGTTGGGACTGGATCCACATCTTCTTGTTTTGATTGAAAAATCTTCAGGGTTCTGAATAGTTCTGAAACTATTGCAGCTATGCCAGAAAAGGGGAGGGCAATGGTTTTTTGTTTTTGTTTTACTGTTAATGTAGTTGTTTAATACATCTATTCTCAAATCAGAATGAGCTCTGCAGATTGTAAAAGTATAGTCTGAAAACTCAAAACTTATTTTTTGCCTTATTTAGAAAATATTTTATGTACAATTTATAGGCCTCCCATCTTACCTCAGGGTAATTCTAGGTGGCTTACAGTCATAAAAGGTAAAAATTATTTAAACTAAAAACATAAAGAAATTAATCCAAAAAGCCAAACACTGCAACCCAATTAAAAGAAGGGGAGGTGGGAGCAGGATGGGGAGGAGATAGGATCTGTTGTTAATCGATCATAGCATATAGCTTCATTGTAAGGTTGTTGGTTTTTTGGGTTGAATGCAAGAACGTTCTGAAATTTTAAGGAACAGTTTTAGAGGCACTATTACCTAATTTGGCAAGAAAATTTTGCAGAAGAAGCAAACTTATGAACACCAAGATACTGACAATTTTAAATTTTCTGAACAGATTTTTATGAGCTTTGGCATGCTGCATTTCCTATTATTGTTCAAACCTTTATGAACAACTATTCCCTTCTCATAAAAATGAAGAAAATTTTAAGTACCATTAAATATCTGTTTTTCCATTGCTAGATAATGGGAGAACAGTTTTGATATTTTTGAATTATAGTTTGCATCAAAAATGAGTTGAAGATTTTCTAAAGTAAAGAAGGAAGCACATTGCATGACAACCCAACACTTTGCCTGGTGGTCATTCAGATTCTGCTGGTGGTTAAGCTCTTTCTAGAGAAAAATACTTAAAATTTGCTAGTGTGACATAACTCAGTGGTGGGATTCAGCCAGTTTGCACCACTTCGGCAGAACCGGTAGCTAATTTTTTGTTGCCCAGACCCAGAATGGACTTCCGGAAGCGGCATCCACACAGAGAACTGGTTGTTCACATATTTGAATCCCACCACTGCACGAACTGCTTGATTGACAAAATCACTTGTTTTTGTAGAAATATTACAGAACTTTATACTTTCCACAAATATTAATTTAATTAATTGCTCTTTGTTTTCTCTCCCTGTGTGTAGATCATCGTAATCCAAACCTATTATCGACGATGGCTAGCTATTCAATGGGTAAACAAACTAAAAGAACAGTTAAGATTGAGACTGGAATGGGAAAGGCAAGAAGAACTAAGAAAACAGAGAGAGAGGGAATTAAAATTGCTAAGGGAGTATAATCGAAGAATGCATCCTAAAACAAAGGATGATTTTGAATTACTTTATCATGCCTTAGAATGTAAGTATCCAGTCTCTTCTTTGCCAATAAGTAAACCCAAACTCTCTCATTTTTTTTCAACAATTTATCATAGATTAGATGCAGAACTATAGCCACTGTTGAGAAACCCCAGTTACACTGGGATATTTCATGCAGATCAGCAAAGTTTCAGTATTCAGCATCTTTTCAGTATTTTAGCTATTATCCAAGCCTTACTGAATGCACTTCCCTTCTTTATGTCTACATTGTTGCTCACAAAGTATCTGTTTTAAAAGACATATTATTAATTAAGTAACTTAAATCAAGAAAAAGAAGAAGGGATAACTGGTATTATCTGTAAACGTAGAATTAGTTATTATTAGGTTTGCCAGATCTGGGAATTGCCAAATCCCTACAGTCACGTCTTGATGCCAAAGACAAACAGTAAACTCTAAATTTTTGTTATCACTTATTGGTTTTCCAGATTTGTGTAGGCCAGATCCATTTGCACATTCTTTAGAAGACATATTCCAGTTTCTGTAAACTCCTATCTATTTTCAGCTATTATATTCAGAGATCCTCTAGGTACTTATGCAAAGAAGAGTGGCAGTTATAAGAGACAGAGTTTTGAATGAAAACATTTGTAATTGAAGAAGAATCATATTTTAGTGCTTCCAATATAAAACCAGCATAATATAAAACTAACTTTAGCAGAAACCTCTACTTGATGTGTTGGGTTTCTATATAGAGGTAGGGAAGCTGCCTTTTTAAAAAATAGTTTCTCTGTTTCCTTAAGAAATAATGATTCTTCTGAATTAGTTTACCCTTGGCTTAAATGACTGCAACATTTTTGGTGATGTTGATTCTTCTACACTGAGGTTCTGTTTCCTTGTATATTATGTTGAGGCATAATTTATCTGTTCTCTGTGAAAGAACTCATATTTTAGGAAGTTAAAAGTGCACTTGATTTTCTTTGAATGTATTCATCATCTGACATGCCTTTTGATAGCATTTCAGAGCTATATTTAAAAACTAATACAAGAAAAATGGAAAACATCCACCTTTGTACATTCCCTGGAATTAGAAGACCATTCCCTTGAAGTGATAATTTAATTAACAGTTGCCTACCATTCATCTTCTCAAATTAGAAAAATATTGATCTGGTTATGAAAACAATTGCTCTATTTTTAGGTGTTATCCAAAAGCGTACTGAAGTAGTTTTATGAAATTCTAGTCTGAAAAAAAGTGTCATTGTGAATTTCTATCACTTTTTCTTAGCACTATTTGTAAATATCAGACTGGATATAAGTAAATTTTAGACTGCTTTGATTGAGTATCTGAGTGCCATAAATTAAGTGATGGGTCCTATTGTCCATATGGATAGATCCTCTTCATAGTAATCTGTCCCCAATCTGATCCTTAGGTCTTCCAAAAGTGCACCATTCCTGGTCTAATCAGATCCATTCTCCTTGCTGCTGATTGCCCTCTTTTCCTCTTTCCTTCCCTCTTTCCCAGCATTATGATCTTCTTAAGGACCGGGATCTTTTCATCATGTATCTAAAACATAATAATTTGAACCTTGTCACATGTTTTTCAAGTGAGAATTCTGGATTGTTTTATTCTATGATCTATTTGATAGTTTTCTTGATTGTGCATGGTATTCTCAAGAGTCTTCTCTAATTCCAAAGTTCAAAACTGTCAATATTATTTCTATCCTGTTTCTTCAAAGTGCAAGGGGTGGGGATGTGTAAACTGTTGATTACATAATAGTAGCTATTGAGTCCAGTACATCAGTCTTGAAATAAGCTGTTGTTGAATTGTGCTGTTTCTGATTGCTTGCTACTGTTTTTATTCATTATTTTCTGGATGCTTCCTCAATAAGTGACTTGATTGTTTTTCTTCAAATAAGAAAGAATTAAATTAAAAGAAGCACTTGTTACCTTAATAGAAGTAAGTAACAGAAGTAATAGAAGTCAGTTTTTTAAAACTTGTTTCCTCATAAACAGTGATTAATTATTTTTCTTTGTGACTGCTATTCTCATATGGACCCTGATAATTTATACTAGTGATACTTAAAGCATGTAGCAATTCACTGATATTTAAAGAAGAGTAACAGATCTGTTTGTCACTTGGTTAAAGAAAAATAATGGTTCAGTCTTTAGATGAAAATGGAATTTTAATAAACATATTTTTGAAAATAATATTTTTAAAAGCTCAAAATCATGTAAGAATTATGGTCTTGATGCTTTTGAGAATAGATAAAGCAGTATGGAGAAAGCCTTGAAGAAAATATGCCATAACTGTGGGAAACTTTGCTTGGAAAGGAATGAGAAAGTCAGGATTACTACCTTGTGTCTTAAGGGCTATATAAGAGTGAAGGAAGGACAAAAGCTGTCAGGTTTCAAGATTCTGTTACTGTAGCCAATATTAATTATATTGTCTTTCTTATCTTCCTTCTTGTTTCTTGATTTGGCCCATTCTATAGGGCTGGCAAAAGGATAGTGCATTCCATCCAGTTTTTAAAGTCCAGCTCTGTTTGGATACCTTTGAAAAACTTCCAATACTGGATTTCAGCTCTTTGTGTATTAAATGGGGTTTAGTAATCCACATGGTTCTGGGAAGAGAAATAAAAGGTGGTTTGTGAGAGCCTTTGCACAGTTTATATATTGCTTTGTTACATAATCTGCCTGACTTCATTGATACCTCATTATTATTGTATGCTGATAACAAAAAAAATAAATTCATAATAGGCTGTCAGATACCTTCAGCTGAATGCCAGCTTGGTTATTAAAATCTAGCACTATATATTACGATGTAGCATTGCTTTGTGTAAACAAACTATCAGTTTGCCAGTGCCCATCTTTTACAGTCAATAGTTTAGCTGTTTTGTTAATGGATGAATGGCTGGTTATAACATGGATTTGATTTTTATTACTTCTTTCAAGCAAAAAGGATGCATGATTAATCAGTCAGAGCTCACCTCTTATTTCCACATATGTGATGGCTATAACACCTTGTCCAGAGCATCAGAAATGAATCCACTGATAAGGAGGATAGGATCAGTGCTGAACTGTGTTTATCATGGTTGTGTGTAAGATCTGAGGATGATAAGCTTATCCAGAATATCACTTAGTGTACATATAAGACAGATTGGCAGATCTAGATTTTGTTTCTTTTTCAGCTTATTTGTTTTAAATGTTGTAGTTGGTGAATTTGGTGAATGACAGAAGATCTAGATCAGGGGTGTCAAACTGGTGTCCCGCGGGCCAGATGCGTCTCATACACAGGCCACGTGCACCCTGGCTCCGCAAAGGCAAAAAACATTGCGCTACATCATGTGACACGATCAAGTTTGACACCTGTGATCTAGATGATTAGTCTGGTACATAACTGTAGTGCTACTAAAATGGGACCATACAGTTATTGGCTATATAAGTCATTGTTGGAAATCTTCATGTTTGCTTTAAAAATAAAAAGTACCACAAAAGGATTGGGAATGTAGTTTGGATCAGACAATAGAACAGGAAATTTTGCCTATGCTTTTGTCCTTCAGCATGTAAATGACTTTGGCGCAGGCTTTTTATATGCAAATTCCCAAAATGTGAGCTTCATTTTTAATGATATGTTTTATATTTTAATACAAGTTGTGGATCTTTAAAGATTTTTTTTAGATTTATGTTTTTATTTAAATGAGTAATGCATTAGTAGCAATATTTTTAAAAAACATTGTAATAAAGGATAAAATAATCCTAAAAAGGGAGAAGTGTTTAATATCAGAAATTGTTTCAACCTTTTTCTAGTTTGTAAGGTAGAACACTAATGAGATTATCAGAAATACAGACAACTATGGCCATTTCGTGGACATTTTTATTCATTATCACAAGCTTATTTTTTCCATAAATCTTTGATTCATACATAGTTCAGGATAGGTGCTTTGGTCATTGTATCATAAAATGTCTTGTGTAACTTTGTCCAAACTTCCTTTTAGAAAGGAAAAGAATAAAAATTTGGAGTCATGATCGTAGGATTCACATTTGGAAACTTTTGAAAAATTGTGTCATTTCTTTAATAGGCTTTGTAGTACGATGCTGGAGTGGCAACAGGAAAGATGAGGTCAGCCATAAAAACTCAAATGACTTTGAGCCAGTCATTTATTTTCAGGCCATCCTATCACACAAGATAGCTGTAGTGGGTAAAAATGGGAGAAGGGAATGTTATGCAGGTCACCTTAAACTCCTAAAAGACAGGATATAAATCTAAAAATAAATATATAAAATGTTGTTTTGCTATTTTATAGCAAACTGGAAGTTTTGAAAAGCTCTTTAGCAAAGGTCTCAAAAGGTAAAGTAAAATTGCTTATTAGCCCTTAACATTTGGTTATAATTACTGCACTGTTCTAAATTACGCTGACCTGGAAGGCCATGTAAACTTGTGACATGCTCAGTCAAATATAAGATAGTAGTTTGGTAAAAACTAAATATTAATTAATTAATTAATTAATTAGTATCCGGTCTTTTTAACAGATACCTCAAGGCAGCGAACATATTCAACACTCCTTCCTCCTCCTATTTCCCCCCCAACAACAACCCTGAAAGAGAGTGACTGGTCCAAGGTCACCCAGCTGGCTTTAATGGCTAAGGCAGAATTAGTACTTACAGTTTCCCAGTTTCTAGACTGGTGCTTTAATCACTAGATGAGTGCTTTAATCACTAATCACTAGACTAGACTGGCCCTATTAACATACTATAACATTTCTATGACACCAATTCCACAGGGACTGTTAGCTCTTTCCACATATTAATATAACATATGTCCATAAAAATAATAATTATAAAAAATATCTCCCATTAAAACTAGTGTTCCTCTTTAGTTGGCACTCCAAGGAATATTGTAGATCAGATGTTCTACACAACATCTCCATTTTGGCTGCACTTCTAAAAACCATTAGAACTATGCTATTGGACTCTGAGGTAAAATTATTCCATAATGAAGAAGCAAATACCAAAAAAATGTGTCCTAGTGTAACCCCTGCACTCCTCGTCAAATACTCTCATATAGGAGTATCATCAGTACCACTGGCCTGAAGGCAAATGGATTAGTCCTACTTGAAACATAATCTGGCTATTGAGATAGAATTTGCTTATCCACAGTTAGAAACTATATGTCTACTTTCTTTTTAGCTGCATTCTTACATGTTTCTAATGACATGAGAGACTGTGTATATATTACAGAAGAACTTTTTAATATTATGAAATTGATTTGAATAACCCAAAGATGGCTTCTACTGGTGTATATCAAGAACACTTAACTAGTAAATGATGATTTAGAATAACTAAATAGCAACTCAGGTGGCTTCTGTTTATTAAGACTTGACTAATTTAAAATATTCAATTTGTATTAATGCTTGGTGAAGGCTAATCAAAAAATGAGAACTGAAAAAAAATCAATATAGTTTTTTTGTGTTGATGCAGTATGGAGAAAAGAGGAACTTGAGGGCATCAACAGCACTTTCACTGGAGCTGAACGGAAAGCAGCTCTCTGTGGACTTCTAGAAAAAGAGACCCAGCTGATTGCTTGCATTGGGAGACACAAAATAAATGCAGCAGAAGAGAACCATGAAAAAGCAATCCTGTTCTTTCTGGAAAAGGTCAGTGAGATAATTTCTGTCTTCGTGTAACCAAGAGTTCAAAAACCGAAATTAACATTTGCAAACTAACAACATACTGAAGAAAAGCACAGTAATTAACTTACCAGTTGGTGATATGATTTGTGAGCTTTATGCATGTCTGGCAGTAAAATTGGCTCATTAGATATGGTTATTAAAAGTCTTTATGTACACTCATAAATTTGTGAAAATTTCTTTTCACCTATGTACAGAGAAGCCACCACTTACATCTTAATTTACTTAATTACATCTTCTTATTGAAAATGATGCTAACCATGCCCTCTATAACCTTTAATTAATACTGCATTTTAGGCATGTAGGGTAAATTTATTATAGTAATTTCATTCACATTACCAGAATTTATATTCTACGATATCTTATTTCTGTCACTGTTATAGCAACAGACCCCTTTGGCTCTACTGCAGGAAAATATATTTAAAATTTTGTGTAAGGCTTTTCAGGAAAACTCATTATTTCACATGTAAAATAAATTTTCTATTGGGGGGGGAGAAGTATTTAGGGGAAGACTACAACATCAAGTAAATTAAGTATACCCATCATCCTGTTTTCTCTTCAAGTGAAGAAATTGGTAAAGTTGCATCTCAAGAAGAATTTGTTTTTGATTTTATTTCCTGTGTAGATCATATTGCTGCTGGATAGTTTGAAGTTGTAACATGTCAGATAATCAATGGCAATCCTTTTCTTATCTCATTTTTAAGCTTCCAGTGACCTATTCCTTTTCAAATCTCTAGCAAGGATCTTGACAAACATGAGCATTGGGCCTTGTTCAACAAGATGTGGTTCAGTGGTGAGAAGAGTAAGGATCCTGCATTTAGGCAGGAAAAACCAAATACACAGGTTCAATGGTAGTAACTGGCTCAACGGTAGTAACTGTGAGAAGGATCTAGGTGTCCTGGTGGGCTACCACTTAAATATGAACCAGTAGTGAGCTCCAGCTCTAGCCTCATGATTCTATTGTTCTAATTATCAGGTGTACTTTAAGCCAAAACAAATAAAGTACATTGTAAATTTAAATTGTTGTTTTGCATTGTATTCTCTTTGTGTGTGATTTCTGTTTCAAAGACAATTGACTCTACTCACATATATGATTTGAACTAAATACCCAAGTATTTCATTTGTGTATTAGAGTTCTCTTATATTGATAATCTTATGAACTTAGAGTTCTAACATTAAGATGAATTCTTTATTAGAAGAAACTTCAGACTGAAATTAAAAGTAGGAATGTAAAGATAGTAAATAAATGCACCATTACTTTGGAATAATAGCAAATAATTCTAAGAATAGAGCAATAGATAAGAAAAAGACATAAGAATAAGAAATTATTATTTTAATTAGGGTAAATGTCTTAAATTGCTTATCCACCTGTAGATGTCACTAGCAGCCAACACTATACTCGAAATAAACTTAGAAGCTTTGATGCTTCCAAATACACAGCATACAATAATATACAATATCCATAAATATTGTTTTCCCTAATTTTAAAATTGCTTCATTTCTATTCTTCAGTTTCCCTCATAAGAATTCTCTCCTGCTAGAGACTGTTTTTATCCAGAGAAAATGTATAGAAACCTTACCAAGTTTATGCTCTAAATCCAGTTCCCTGCTGAAAGAGAAAATTAGATGGAAGAAGCAGTTAGTAGTTAACTCCAGTTTAATAAGCAAAAATCCTACTTTAGTTTAATAAACAAAAATCTCCCTTTCCCATCCCACTGCAAGAGACAGCTATCTAACTATCATTTGCTGACACTTGACTCTCAGAATTGTTTTGAATCACAGCAGAAACTAAGAAATGGTATGTTTGAGGAGAACAAGAGGGTGTGTCTGCTAAAATGTGGGCAAGGTTCAGTGGAATTACCACTGACTAATGGAATGGATAGAGAGATTCTTTTGAAGCAGGAGAGAGAGTAATGTGTTGAGTAGTGTGCCACAGAGTTCCCTTCTGGGTCCAGTCTAATATTATTTTAAAAAGTTATAAATGCTTGAAACAAAAAGTGAAAGGCATGCTCATGACATATGTAGTTGACACAAAACTGGATATAAAAAAAAGCTACCAGAGAAAGCTGATCTTGTTCTAAATTGTTACAATGGTTGCACAAGATAATAAGAACTCTCTTGTGACTTGGTAGTTCATTCTGGTTTTACTGATTCTACACATAAGAGAGTGGTTTAATCACAAAATATATTCTGAGAATCTTCTGAAGTAGTTCAATTTTCTTTCCCTCTTTGGTTCAAGATTTTAACTGCCTAGGTTGATGTTTCTTATTTCACTTCCCTAATCTTTTTCCAGCTGGGGTCTGTCTTTTATATATGTACCACTCCACATTAAAATACATGCACATAATTAAGCCATATGTTAATTGATATCACACACACACACACACACATACATTATATTCATCGTATAGTTTGAATAAATAAGAGGAGAGTATGTACCCTTTTCTTACTCCTTTGCCAGTAGCCAGTCTGTTTTGTTATAAATTACTAAAGTCCTTTTTACTTTTCATTTTGTGATTGATCTATGACACCAAGTGTCATATGTAAAGATATTCATAAAATGAATACATTTTAAACCCTTTTTGCTGTTTTAAGATGCTTCCTGAATATTTTAGGAGAAATGGAATATTGTTCATTTGAACTTTCTACAAGTTTTTCTTTTGTTTCACAATTTCTACAGAATGTTTTTAGATGTAAGTTTATAAGATGAAGTTATAATATTGTTCAAAAAGTGTATACACTTTAAGTTCAAGATATGTTATTTCCAACATGCTTCACATGTGTATGTGTCTTGGTTATCTGAGACAAGGAACAGCAAATATATTCTTGTTCATTATATAACCTAAGTTTTAATTCTTAATTAATAATAATAAAGATGATATATCTTGCATGTGTTGTATTACCTGTATGTATTGCTAACACCCTGCTTGGAGTCAGACAAATGCGTATCAAGTTCACACCTGCATCCTAAAAATGGGCTCTCTGCCCAAAAGCTGTTGTGAAAGAGCAATCAGTAAGATCTTTTATGCAATATGGGTAGTTACTGCGTAAGTAGAGCAATTTTGACATTTTAAGATGTTCAAACAATTTCTTCAGATTTCAACTTATTCTGCATATTGAAAAGTTGGATTAGGAAACATTTCAGAATGCTTGGTTGTATGACTTACAGAGTTGAGGTTGGGAGATTCTGGAACATATCAGATTGCACTTATATAAGTCCACCATGGATTTCTTAATATGCAAACCATTATTTTTCAACCTGGTTCAATAAAGCCTGCTAAAATTCTTCAAAATATAACTGCCTCTACTTCAGTTTACTAATCCTAGGTATAAGGATATCAAGCCACTTACCTACCCTTGATTTTAGTAGGCTTGGAGGGGACCAGAGGTTCTAGGACAAGGCAAGAATTCTCATCCTTGGAAAACTACCCATCTCCCAGCTACAATATTAATCCTACAAAACTGACTTTATAGTATGATTTTTGGTGCAGGAGAATTTCTGGAGTCCTGTGATATTTGGGAATACAGGACAGGCACTGATCCTATGGTGGAGCAAACCAGATTGGGAAACATTCTCTAAAATGCTTTGTGCATACAGAGAAAATTAATGTGTGATCAGTGATTTTAAATCTCTTCAGCTATTCTGGGTGTCATAATACTGGTTTACAGTGTCTCATAATACATATAAAAGGTTTGTGTTATCATGCATGCACAAGAAAACAAATTAATAGAACTTTAATTATGCTGGAGCAACAATCTTTTGTTTCTGATTCTGTCAAGTGTTTGCTAGCTCTAATTGAAGGATGTAGAATTTTATTTAATTAGGCAAAAATCTATTGCATCAATTTTCAAAATTGGGTTTGGCTTCAGTCCATCAGTTCCAATTATCTGCACTTCATTTAATTATAGAGCTAAACCCACTAAGAATCTGTCAAATTTTATTTATGAAATTCTATTTTTATTTTTTAATGCTTATATAATTTGAAAAATAGGAGTTTCTTAATAGTGTACAGATTTCTGTTTCCAGTAGCAAACAGTTTCTGTGCATTCAAGCTTCCTAGAGATGTATAGAGCTGTGGAAATAGAATTGTTAAAGTTAAAAAAGAAAAGAAAAAAGAACACAGCACAGTCAGCTTTGTTCCTTGCTTTCCCCAAGCACATATTTTAGAGCAGGAAGGGCCCAAGAGTTGAGAAGACAGTTAGAAGAGAGCTCCATGGTACTAATATGCCCTGGCTGATGCTTATTAAACAGGACAAGACAGGTTAGAGAGAATATCGCCATAAGCCAGAACTAGAAATCTCCTAATATCCACCCACCCATGTTCATTCCATCTCTTGCATTTACATAGGAATTAAGGAGTAACCCTAGGCTGAGGATTTAGTCATACTGAAAAGGAGCTTTTAAAAGATAGGAGTATTGCCATGGTTGCTTTTCTTAAAAAAAAAAAAAATTAAATCAGGAGGGAATTGTTTTCCACAGTTTTATTGTGGTTCTTCTATCTCCAGTTCTGTCAAAGAAAATTAATATGCACATGTCTCTCCTCCACTATGTAGAATCCATAGTGTGGGTGGACCACAGATCTAAAGTGTAGGAGCTTAGAACTCAAGTGCAAGGGTCAAATGATGTTATTATTATTATTATTATTATTTATTGAATTTATATACCGCCCTATCTCCCTTACGGGACTCAGGGCGGTGAACAGGCGATAATAAAAACCACGATAAATATACACAAGTTTCTGTTCTAAAATCAAATTAAATAACAGGCCTGCTCTAAAAGTACTCCATACAAAACCCCCACTAAAACATAATCAAACTACACCAGGCCGGCTCTTAAGGCTCTTCAACTTACTAATTATGCAGAGGTATTCATGAAGGAGATCAAAAAAGTCAATATGATAGCCATAATTACGCAATCAAAGCCTGGGCCTTGTATTATGGGTAACCACAAACTAGTCCTTTGTCAGTTCCTGGTTTGAAACAGGTTTACTGCAACCCAGTTACCTGTTTTCCTTCTGGTTATTTGACTCAATGCTATAAATGTTATTTATCAATGCTATTTTTTATTTTTATTTTAATTATTAATTACAAATACTTTATTCTCAAGCATTTATTCTCAAGCAATATCTATGGTAATCTGAAAAACCTTTAAGTTTATTAGATCCAAATTATTAAATCTAAAACTATTAAATCCAAAGTTTAAAATTATCTAGCTTCATTAAACCATCCAAGCTCCAGAACTTGGGCAGTCGTTATTATGCTAAGTTGTATCTAATTTTTGTGCACAGCTGTTCATCTCCTGTTATGAAAATTGGTTTACACGAAAGAAGATCATGCCACTGAGGGTCTAACAAGTGCTAAACAGTCAGATTCCAAAAACTTAAAAAAAAATACTATTTTATTTTCCCAGTCTTCCCCACTTCCCCTATCTGACTGCAAACCTAAAGATCTGTTTATTTACATTATTTTGATGATTTGTTGCCCATCCATCTTTTTTAAAAAAGCATGATTGCCAGAAAATCAGTAAAAACCTTAATGCTGGAATATGGAATCTGTATAGATTGATTATATCAAAAAAGTGTTTATAGCTTCCATATTTCAAGAATTTGGACAAACGTGATACATTTTGGAAAATGTTTTATTCATCTCTATCATCAGATTAGCATAATTAAACTGTTATTATATGATAATACTGGTTCTAGCTGCATTCTGTTAAATCTATTAAGTCTTTCATATTTTTTATATTGTCCTTTGAATTTTTTATGTTCATTAGGAAACTACAATTTTACAATAAATCACTGGATTTCACAATTTATCTAAGGATTTATAAAAAAAAAACCTTTTAGTAATTGCTGATTTCTTAGAATAATGATTATTTTTTAATTAACTAAAATGAAATGTTAAATATGTAGAAGCAACAACTGACCCTCCATTAAACTTCTAGCACTGTACTTTATTCATGTACTGCTCCTTGTTCTATAATCATTGGTTCAAATTGTTTCTCCAGTGTGCAGAACCAAAAAGATGGAAAGCATTTGATGGCAGAACCACAGAGATGGATACACAATTCACACTGCGAGCCAGGGAATTACTTGGAATCTATCGCAGCATTAGTATGAAAGATCTTCCCCAAGATGAACGGCTAGATGTGTTGTTAGCCCTGAAACATACAGTGAAGGTATGTTTCTCCAAGGCTTTAAAAACACACACACACTGATGTCACATATCAATAGTATGTAGTGATTTACATGTCAGACTAAGACCAGGGAGATTGAGGTTCAACCATCTCATCAGCTTTGGAAGCTTGTTTTGTATATCAAGCAAGTCATTCTCCTTTAGTCAAACCTACCACATAGAGCTGTTGTTGTAGAGAAAATTGTGAAATGTTGCCTTGAGCCCTTATAAGTAAATATTTGATGTTCTCCATTTGTATTTATATTTGAGGGCTTTATTCCTTATTGTTGTGGAGGTTACACCTCTATTTTGCTAACTGCCATGGTTCCCAGTAAGCTCTCAGATGCAATTCTAGATGCTGGTTACCACCTTCATGGCCCAGGATTTCAGTATTTGCAAAGATCATCTGTGTCTAGGTGTTTCTGGCCATCCCACACATTACAATAGAGTGGGCACATTCCTGGCTCCTTGTCTGAAACATGCCATCTGACAGGACGTAGGAAGCATGCCTTTTCAGTTGTGATCCCTGCCCTCTGGAATGATCCCTCCCCTAAGATTCGCCTGTCTCCAATCTGGTTGGCCTTCAGGAAGGCTTTGAAGACGTGGATGCTTTCTCAGCATTGGAGCCAGAATATTCTGGGATGCTGAGTATATTGTGGTTATGCCTCAACTGTACGATTTTGTTTTCTTTATTGGTGTTTTTGTTATTGACATTTGAGATGCTATGATTTGTTTATAGCTGTATGCCACCAGGAATCACATTACTGCAATTTGGATAGCCATATTAATCCTTAAACAAAATAAATATGTGTATGTTTAATTGGTAGCTTCCATTCTACTCTTAGAATGAATGAATGAATGAATGAATGAATGAAGCCAGATTAAAAGATAACAAATAACTCAATTAACCACTATTGAAAAATTGAAAGGGCCTGAGGGGATGGATAGGTCCTGTGTGATCAACAGTGTGCACTCTTCATTGCTTCTGAACACTGATGAAAAAGTGAGATCTATGATCCTAAGCACACTGACTTACTATGAAGATATTTAAATATACAGAATATATTAGAACAGCTGGGAAGCAAGTGTTGGATTTCTATCCTAAAGCCAAACTAGAAGATGTGTCTTCTGGGAAAAATTGCTTGGGTGAGGGTTTCTACAGATAAGTAGTTCTGATAGGGGAAAGATACCCTTGGCGTGTCTCTAATCTGGCTTGGGTTCCCTCCATTGCTATTTTCACTGAATAAAAAACTCCAAAAATGCTTTATTCATTTCAGGGAAGATGTTTTACATGTAGCTTACTATAAAAGCTATTTTTCTGGTTAATTAAGTGCTTAAAAATCACAACTAATGGCTGAGGAACGCATTGTATTCACATTTCTAAAAGCAAAGGGTTTCTGAAATGTTGAGCAGTATCTGACATTTTGACTCTTTGTTGACCCTTTCTCAGAAGATGCTTTCAAAGCTATTCTCTGAATATTTTAGATGCCCTGCCGCCTGTAAACTATTATAATAGGCAACTGATATTAAGAATTACAGTCAGTATAAGGAACTGTGTACCTATGGTTTGCTAAACACTTTATTTTTTCAGGAACATGAATGTAAACTCACGCAAGAAATAGTGGAATTAATTGATAGAGAAGCAGACCTCATGATGAGGGCAGTGAAGGAATGTAATTTACAAGGACTTCGACAAAGAATCTGTACATTATTTCTTCAGTATATTAAAACACCTCTTTTTAATCCAGAGGTTGCACGACTGCTCAAGGTATTTTCCATCTCTGTTACATATATATGCAATGTGGAGCTAAATGAAATTCCTTTTCTGTTTAAATAGTCCATTGCTGTCCAAATGATGGATAACTCTCACCTATATTCCTTTAATTTGCTCTTTGTAGAGCCACCTTGAAGACTATTCTAAAACTTCAGCTGGTCCACAGCATAGTGGCTCATAGAGCTTTTGGCTATTCTTGATACTTCTCATGTTACAGTTACATGGATGTTTCAGGGACTGCATTGGTTACCCTGTGTGAGTGTGTGAGTGCAATTCAAGGTAGTGGCCACTAACTTTAAAACCCTATATGGCTTGGGGCTTGGGGATCTAAGAACTCACCTTTCCCAGATACATAATGCTCATCTGGCCTGGGTAGCCAGAAAGCAGATATCATGGTATCTCTCTTACTAGGAGATGTGATGGAAAGGGATCTCAGGATTCTCTGTAGGGGCTCCCCTCTTATGAAGATAAGGATAGCCTTGCATTTATGGTCTTCCAAAAAATGGCAAAGACCTAGCATTTCTACAGACTTTGGGAAAATATCGTAGACCCAATGATGCCAGATACAATATAATTGCAGTGTTATATTGTTATAGATTTTCTAATATATAGTGCAGTATTATTGTATGTTATTATATAGCAATAGCATTTAGACTTATGTACCACTTCATAGTGTTTTACAGCGTTCTCTAAGCAGTTTACAGAGTCAGCATACTGCCTCCAACAATCTGGGTCCTCATTTTACTAATCTCAGAAGGATGGAAGTCTGAGTCAACCTTGAGCTGGTCAGAATTGAACTCCTGGCAGTCGGCAGAGTTAGCCTGCAATACTGCATTCTAACCACTATGTCACCATGCTTATATTATATTATATTATATTATATTATATTATATTATATTATATTATATTATATTATATTATATTATATTATATTATATTATATTATATTATATTATATTATATTATATTATATTATATTATATTATATTAATTATATTATATTATATTATATTATATTATTATATTATATTATATTATATTATATTATATTTATTATATTATATTATATTATATTATATTATATTATATTATATTATATTATATTATATTATATTATATTATATTATATTATATTATATTATTATATTATATTATTATTATATTATATACATTACATTATACATCATACTAGTACATCATACTATCACATCATATTATAAATTGCCTAGAATATGATGCTAGTTAAATAACCAATGGAACAACCTGCCTCCAGAAGCGGTGAATGCTCCAACACTGGAAGTTTTTAAGAAGAGACTGGACAGCCATTTGTCTGAAATGGTGTAGGGTTCCTGCCTGATCAGGGGGTTGGACTCGATGACCTCCAAGGTCCCTTCCAACATCATCATCATCATCATCATCATCATTATTATTATTATTATTATTATTATTATTATTATTATTATTATTATTATTATTATTATTATTATTATTATTATTATTATTATTATTATTACAAAATATATATACAAAACAGAAGAGAATAGATGAGGCTATTCTGTATGAAAAAATGACATGAAAGCCAGATATCATTTGTGACAGCCAGGTGGAGTATGCTGTCTGCCACCTAACAGACTGGAAAGAAAAATATTTGAGTACAGTAAAATGAACTGGTAATATAACATGGCATTTGCCTCATATAAGTGTGATTGAAGAAAATGGACTTGCCAATAGATATGCATAGCAAAGTTAAAGAATTAGAATTTTGCTGAACCACAGCTTTCAGAATCCCCTACCTGCACAGACAATAACAAGAGAGCTGTAAATCAATAACAACTGCTGGACCACAACTTTCCCATCTCTACTATAAAATTGTGAACAGCGAAATCAAAGTCCAAACACCCCCCCCCCCCCAATTTTTTTAAGTTCTCTCCCTGATGTGATCTTGGGATTATAATATTGCAGTGCCTTGTAAGAAGGCTAATGAGAGTAAAGATTCATCTTAACCCCATCATAGTTATTAAACACGCTTAACAGGTCATTTTAGTAAAGAACAATAAATTGAATAAGTAAATAACATACACAAATTTCACAATAAAATAATAGCATCATAAACAATTATAGATCAGCTAATGAAAAGGTAGAATTTAAAAAAAATACTTGAGAAAACAGGAAGCTTGGAAATTCATAATAGGAGCCCATCTAATTTTTGGACTGAATTTGATCCTGATGATGATTATATAAAATGTCAGTCCTTTGAGGTAGATCAGATTATAAAACCAATGCCATGTAGGTCAGTACTACTTTTACTATAACAACAACAACAACAACAACAACAATAATAATAAAGTTGGAAGGGACCTTGGAGGTCATCTAATCCAACCCCCTGCTCAGGCAGGAAACCCTCCACCATTTCGGACAAATGGCTGTCCAGTCTTTTCTTAAAAACTTCCAGTGTTGGAGCATTCACCACTTCTGGAGGCAGGTTGTTCCACTGGTTAATTGTTCTAATTGTCAGGAAGTTTCTCCTTGCTTGTCTCCTTGATTAGTTTCCATCCGTTGCTTCTTGTCCTGCCTTCAGGCGCTTTGGAGAATAGCTTGACTCCCTCTTGTTTGTGGTAGCCCCTGAGATATTGGAACACTGCTATCATGTCCCCCTCATCCTTCTCTTCATTAAACTAGACATACCCAATTTCAGCAAATGTTCCTTATATGTTTTAGCCTCCAGTCCCCTAATCATCTTTGTTGCTCTTCTCTGTACTCTTTCTAGAGTCTCAACATCTTTTTTACATCGTGATGACCAAAACTGGATGCAGTATTCTAAGTGTGGCCTTACAAAGGCATTGTAAAGTGGTATTAATACTTCACATGATCTTGTTTCTATCTCTCTGTTAATGCAGTCTAGCACTGTCTGCCTTAGTTATGTGCCCCTCTTTCCACTTTTTATACTTGTCCTTTTTATCTTTCAATTTAATCAGAGAGTTCTTTATGCAGCCATGCTGGTTTCTTTTGAGAGCTGTTATTTTTCTTCTTTGTTGGTATTGTGCTAGATTGGGCTTTTATTATCTCACTTTTCAAAATTTCCCAAGCTTCTTGAGTTGTTTTCCCCTTGAGGATTCTCATCCATGTAATCCTTCCCAAGCTCTCTCTGAATTTATTGAAATTAGCTCTTTTGAAGTCCAAGACTCTAGTTTGACTGTGTTCTATTGCTTGTGCTTCCAGAATGTTGAATTCCAATATTGCATGATCACTTCCCCCCAAGGTTCTTGTGGCTTCAACACCTTCTATCATTTCATCTCTGTTAGTGAGGATTAGATCCAATATTGCTAATCCTCTAGTTCCCTTCTCTACTTTTTGGGAGACAAAGTTATCTGCTAGGTTTGTCAGGAATCTGTTTGATCTTCCACTTGGTGCAGAGTTTGTCTCCCAGTTGATGTCAGGGTAATTAAAGCCCCCCATTACTATTGTGATGTGCTTCCTACATACTTTAGGTGGCTAGCAAAAAGTTCATTTATTTCCTCTGTTTGGTTGGGTGACCTATAGTATACACTTACGGCAATGTCATTCCCCCCCTTTTATATTGACCCAAATGCATTCAAGACAGTTTTCATCATTGTTGTGCTCTATTTCTGTAGAGATGTAGTTATTTCTTATATATAGAGCAACTCCACCTCCTCTTTTGTTTGGTCTGTTTCTTTTAAATAATTTAAATCCCTCTAGCTGTGTGTTCCATTTGTGGGTTTCATCCCACCATGTTTCCGTAATGGCAACAATATCATATCTGCCCTCATTTACTTCAATTTCTAGTTCACCCTGTTTACTGTGCATTGGTGTATAGACATTTGAGTCCTTTATGACTGACCCTGTGTTTACTTTCTACATAACCTGTGTGGTGCCTGAGTTCCCCTATTTTCTTACCACCTGTTTGGTTAGTGCACTTTGTATGGCACTTGCTATTAAAAGCTTGATTTTGCTTGACAGCAAGGTTGATATTCTTGCCCACGCACACATCTATGTTACATGCATTGATAACCCTATAATTTTTAGATTGCCGGGGACAGGGATGTTCTGTATTAATTAACTCACTGTCCCCGTTATTTAGTGTAAATATTCCTCTAGAAAATCTGTGAATTTATTGCCAAGTAACTCGGTCCCTTTCTTGGATGGATGCAAACCATCTCTTTTGTACATTTTTTTATTGGACCAGCTATAGACATCGTGACTAATATAACCAAAGCCTTCCTCTTTACACCACTCCTTTAGCCACATATTGAATTCTGCTATACGTTGGCCTTTTCCATTTTGTTCCTTATACACTGGTAAAACCTCTGAAAAAGTAAGCCTACAGTCTATCCTGCTGAGTTCCTGCCCCAAGCTCTGGAAATCATTCTGTACAGAGAGTACATCTTTTTGGGACAGATTGTTAGTGCCAAGATGTACAATAGCATCCACATCACAGTCCTTGCTGGTGTTCTTGACTATTTTAAAAATACGCTTCTTGTCCCTATTGGCAGTAGCATCTGGAAGACACCTGACGTCTTTTGAAACCTCTATATTCTTTCCTAAATTTACATCCCTTATAATTGAATCACCAATCAGAAGGTGGCTTCTCTTTTTGGATGCCTTTCTCTTCTTGCATGACTGATGTGTAATACCTGATTCGCACTTCTCCCTGTCAAAAACAAGTTCTTCATCTCAGACCACGATCCCCTGCTTGTTTGAGTTATCATCACAACTACCTTGACCTGTCTCCTTAATGTCGCTATTAAGGTCAGCAAGGGCACTGTATCTGTTATGCAGGGACACAGCGAAATGCTGTGGTAGCAAAATCTTAGCAAGTCTGAATGTGCTTCCCCCCTCCCTCTCTGTGTCTTTGTGTAAATTGGGGGGGGGGGCTTGTCTAAGAGGTTTACTCACATTACATTCTTGGCTCAGGCTTAGGGTTCTTTTACCAGACTTTTGCCTTGGGAATGGCTCTTTCTCCTATCTTTAAGGCCATTTCTTCTGCTTTCTACACAGATCACTCCATCCATCCTGTAACTAAGTGAATTTTGAAATAATGTTATTGAAATAATATGTTCATTTTTATAGTTTTATTTGCACTATGGCAAACAGGTAGAATCTTCAGGAAACATTGTAAATATGACACCCAGAGCCCTTGCACACATGACATTTATGCTCATCTGGCCTGAACACTATATCATTTTGTTTCCAGAGTGCTATCCCCAGGTATTGAAGTTTATCTCCTCCTCATTCAGGTGCAGCATAGGTCAAATTGCAAAACTTCCAATCTGAAGTGATCCTGGAGGCAAGCCATTTTCTATTCAGATTCTACATGTGCCTCATCTCCTGCTCTGAGACTTGCTAGTAGATTTACCTCATCTCTGCCTGAACTTGTTAGTAGGTTTCAGTGGCAACCTTAATTGTTCAGTCAGTTTCTTCTCAATATCAGAACACTCGTAAAAATAAGTGGCCTGATTTTCCCTGCTTATGTAAACAGCATATACTGAAATCTTCTTTTATTTTCTCCATCTTCAAGTAGGACATTACCTTCCACCTTAGCCTCCTAAGAGCTGTACACTGAAACCTGTAAACATGATGAGGAAAACCAGCCTTGAATAGCTATGTTGTCATCCAATCATTGCAGTATTAGTGAAATTTATATACAAGAAGTATATTATACCATACTCAGCTTTTGTGGAAATAGTCAGTTATGGTTTGTACACACTACAAAGCATGGTGACAGGGAGGGGGCTAATAACTTATATTTTCTTTTTCTGTGAAAATGAATAAAATATTCCTTTCTATGAGCATTTCCTTCTGCCCTTATTATGAGAATTTCCTTCACTTGGAAGTAGGTCACAGACTCACTTCAGAAATTTTGCATTTCTATTGCTGTCTGAAGGGAGTACTGGTTGATTTGAGGCATTCTTGTCCATTCCAAAGTCAACAGCAGTGAAGACAATTGTACTACCATTGTTTGTATCTTCAAAATGCCTTGGAGGACTGGGTAGTGAAAATAGTTGCTGCCATTGGAAAATACAGTAGAGGAAAATTGAATAGGGCATTTTAACTACACAGATATCTCCCTCCTTCATGGTTTTCAAGATAATTGCTTATTTATTGATTTTTGTCCCCAGTATACTGTACTAGCACAGATACATATCTCTAGGCAGTTTCCAAAGAAATAGAATAGAATAGAATAGAATAGAATAGAATAGAATAGAATAGAATAGAATTCTTTTATTGGCCAAGTGTGATTGGACACGCAAGGAATTTGGCTTTGGTGCATAAGCTCTCAGTGTACATACAAACAACAAAGTGATAGGTCATAGATCATAAATCATAGTTACAATCATTAATCATAAGATACAAACAAGTGATAAATCATAAGATACCAATAGGAGAAGATAGTAGGAAGGATGAGAAGATGAGAAGGATAATACCAATACAGCCTATTACATGGGTAAATATATTTAGACCTAAGACAGTGCTGTGGGAATTAGGTGTTCAGCAGAGTGATGGTGCAGAGGGAAAAATGTCACTGCCTTTGTAACATTTTGATTTTATTTATGAATTGCCTATGAATGCTGTCATAGAAGTACAGGTAGTCCTCAACTTATGATCACAATTGGGACCAGAATTTCTGTTGCTAAGCAAGGTGGTGGTTGTGAGTTTTGCCCAATTTTATGACCTTTTTCCATGGTTGTTAAGTGAATCACTCAAGTTGTTAACTGAATCATACGATTGTTAAGCGAATCCGGCTTCCCCCATTGACTTTGCTTATTGAAGGCTAGCTGGGAAGGTCACAAATGGCAATCAAGTGACATCGGATGCTGCAATCATTGTAAATATATGTCAGTGTCCAAGTTTTGATCATGTGACCATCGGAATGCTCTGACAGTTGTAAGTGTGAAGATCAGTTGTAACTCATATTTTCAGTGCCATTGTAACTTTGAACAGCTGCTAAATGAATGGTTGTAAGTCTAGGACTATCTGTAAAATCTGAAGTAGCAAGTAGATGGGGAATCAGTATGGCAATTAGACTATTTGATATGCAAAGAGATAGACTATTGAAATAGTTTCAGTACCTGTATAACAAAGTTATTATGGCTTGTATTGATAATTACATTCCTCTCAAAGTGTTTTATATAAAGAACATTTATCTTTTTTAAACTTAGCTACATATACCAAAGTTTAAAAGTATGTTCTTAATTGCTAGGTTTATTATATTGTGCTACATCACAGTAATTGTTTGAGAGATACGGTACATTTCATAATTTATAATTTACTAAGGGTAAATGAATCCACAGAGCAGCTAATTTGTAAGGTTGACAGTGAGATAGCAGTTAATGTAGATCATTACAACCTGGTTTGTAAATTACCTATTAATACATATACAATTTATTTTTGTTACTTCTAATTGAAATTGCAATTATAGTTAATAGAACTGAATTTTGAAAATGCAAATTATTACATATTAAGGATTAGCTATCTAACTGATAATAACATGCTTGTCTCAGTCATTTCAATCCAGAAGCCTGGTGTGTGCTCAAATTTAACCACAAATTCTTATAAAAGTGTAATTTTTACAGATTTTATCAGTGCAGTTCAGTGTTATCTTCACAACATTTCACATGTGCAGATGAATCCAGATCAGTTTCTCTTCTGAAACCCCTTTAGCTCATCTTCTCTTTTAGTTCAGTTTCATCCACTGAAAGCAATGATGTTAGAAACCTCTGGTCTAGGCTTTTGATTCATTATGGAAAAAACAACAACTTATAATAGCATTCTTGCAGGTACCAGCTGATCCAATGAAGCTTTATCACAACATCTATTTTTGCCTGGGTTGCAAAAAATATCTACCTTCTACTAGTTTTGCCATATCTGTTAGTTCTTGCACCATCGGCCGGTGCCGTCTTTGCTGCAAGCTGGACAATGAGGCTCGTAAGAGGGAAGCCTTTTTGAAGTACAAACGGATGCTCCGAAATCTTAGAGAGTCTGAAATGAAATACAGCGATGGTGCTAAGATTGCCTTTATACTTCAGGTATGCAGTATATAGAAGATAATAATACAAAAGAAAAAGATGTAGAAGACATAAAACTGGTAGGATTTTTATTCTGTCAATACAGTACAAAAGAAATAGTTTAAATACAGTAATCCGGGTCTCTTGCCCGTGGTTTACATCAGAGCTGCTGTCACTACTTTCTATATAGATTCATCTTAACTTCCTCATAAATGACTTTAAACCTCAAGGCAATGCAAACTTTATAGTAGATAAATTTGTGAATATTTTGAGCCATAGTGATTTAAAGCATGTTTGGTTTTGTTTATTTCTAGGGTAAAAAAGTAAATAATATGCTGTGTTCACCAAATTTAATAATTGAAACATTAAGTACAATTTAACATCAGATTGGATTAGATGATAAAGTTCCAGAGTTAAATTGTATTACTTAACAGCAATTAGACATTTATCCACAGTTATAAACAGAATTTCAAGTTGCTGCATTTTAGTTAGTGAAATACATCCTGTGCTGAAAATAATTAAGTAGAATTCAAAATAAAAATTGTATTATTTGGGAATCTCATTTTCATAGAAAATATATCTGTATCTGAATGCAAAAAATATAAAATAATTATTAATATTAAGAAATAGCAATATGTTCTATGTTTGCTTATTAAGCTGTGTATTGTTTTAGAAGGCACTATAATATGTATAATGAGCCCTATTTATTTCATTTTAAAAACAGAAATGAATTGGTCCCAAGTGAATTTTCCATTTAAAACTCATCTAGTAAAATGCATTGCCTGTTTGCATAGTCTTACATTATTCAGTGCCCCTGCATCATAGAGTCTTGATATAAATCACATCTTTTTACATCATATCTTTTCTCTCTTTACCTTTTCCTTCATACCTAGGGAGAAAATTGATCTGTTTTTGGTTTGTTTCATTTGAAAACTAAATCACTATGAAAGCTTCAGGAAAATTTTGATTCTGTTTTGCATTGATGAGTCTTGTTTCAATTTATTGAGATATCTGTAAAATTTGTCTATATAAAATTCAATTCAAAATATATCTGAATCTAAAGCATATTCTTAATAACAATTTTTTGTATGCATTAATAGAAATCTGCTGGTAATGATACTTGTCTTTATAAGTACATTGCTGAATTAATGATTTATGTCCCTGGACTGAACCTAAGCAGATCAATTTATTAAGAAACACTTTTTCTCAAATCATGTGGCTATATTTATTCTCTAGGTACTTTATCACAACATTCATTAATGTAATTGGAGTTTAAGGCAACCTTATGCTGTATGTTATGATATTTCACAGTTGCCAAACTATATATGTGATATTATCTCATTTGCGATACATTTTCTCATGATGATTAATAAAATCAGTCCTATGATTAAAATATACATTATCAATAATTATATTTATTTATTTACTTATAATTTTAAAGCCCGTGTGACTTGCCAGTTATTTATAGATTTATAGCGGAAAATACACTATACTATAAAGTATTTAAGCTATACTAATGTTGCTTATATGGATTATGTCATTTTAGGTATAAAATTGCTGAGTTCCAGGTTAGAACTCTTTTTTTGTAAATATACTAAAAATCTGAATTTCCAGGTTGGAAATTCAGACTTTTAGTATATTTGCAAAAAAGAGAGGAATTCACTGGTAGTGGAATATTACAAACTTTGAATTTAATTAAATACTATTTCTATTTGTGAATGCCGGATCATTAATGCTTTACTAACAGCATGGATTTGGGAAGTGGCTAGAAGCAAGAAAATGTTCTAACAACAAATTGATAATCAAGCAAGCTGTCAAGAGAGGAAGTAGAAATAGCCATCTGCATAAAAACCTTACAATAAATTTCTAAAAACCTGTATTTGAGGCAATACGTCTTTTGGCATAAATAAGCTGATTGTGTGTTATCACAGCCATTGCAGAAAGAAAGAGAGGAGAGAAATACTTTCCCTGAGAACATTTTAATCTGTAATTAAAATGTAGTGACTATGTGTGGCATACAATAATAGTCATTCAAAGCAACAACTTTATAAATGTGGTAAGTTTTGAAGTTAACTTTTATTATTTCTTTTTTTTCCTCTTGTTTTTATATTGCAGCTGCAAGACTTACACTACATGGTGGAACATTTCTGGGATTCTCAGTCAGCTCTTAGTGCTTGGGATGATCTGTATGATTTGGTCATGATTAGGTGGAATAAGTGGCAAGAATGGTCGCCCTGGAACACTATTCTCCTCAAAGAGGATGAAGCTGAAGCTCATCTTAAACTAAGTGATCTTGAGACGGTATTAATTTAAATGTGCCACCCCACACACATTAAATATATTTTTAATAAATAAATTCAATCCAGTAAAGGGTGGGAAAATCCCATAAGGTATAGTACTATTGAAATCCTTCAGATTCAATTTTTAAAAGGCACACAGGAACACAGAGATAGCATAGAATGTGTGCTTTGTTATGCAGATTGTTTGACAGGTATTCCACTTTGGAATGTATAGTATTCCACTTTGGAATGTATTGGTATTCCACTTTGGAATGACTTAAGACTACAATTGGGACCAGAATTTCCATTGTTAGGGTGAATCATACCCCATTTTATGACTTTTTCTGCCATGGTTATTAAGCAAATATTGAAGTGAATCATGTAGTCATTAAGCAAATCTGGCTTCCCCAATTGACTTTGCTTATGAAAAATTTGCTGGAAAGGTTGCTGATGGAAATTGCATGACCCCAGGATGCTATAAACCACAGGTGTCAAACTTGCCGCGTCACGTGATATGTCCTGATGTATCGTGACTTTTTTTGCATTGCTGGAGCTAGGATGGGCGGGGCCTCTGCATGATGCAACCGGCCTGTGGGCCGGCAGTTTGACACCCCTGCTATAACCATTGTAAATACATGCTGGTTGCCAAGTGCCCAAATTGTGGGTATGTTGCCAAGTGCCCAAATTGTGGGTATGTTGCAATGATCCTAAGTGTGAGGACTGGTTGTAAGTCACTTTTTTCAGTGCCATGCTAACTTTGAATAGTCAGTAAACAAATGGTTGTAAATCAAGGTCTACCTGTATAAATCTCTGTATGTATATACATTTATATCACATTGTTTATGAGTGCTTTTGAGTGTTTTGCATGCTTATTGCTTTGCATTAAGGAGCAAAAATGGGAAAATAAATAAATTGGTTGGTTTATTTATTAATACAGTTCAATAGCTGCCAGACTACAACAATTTTGGCTGGCTTACAATTAAAAAATGAGAACAATTCAAAAAGGATTGGAGAAAAAAATTTGACTAGTTTGAAGACAGACTTATAAACAAAGGAAAAACAACCTATCTAACAGGGACTAAACTATCACCCCACCCCAAGTCCTGGGAAAATAGCTAGTTCTTTAATAGCTTCTTAAACATCATCAACCATCTGAATTTCTGGGAATATTATTTCAGCGAGTAGACTCCGTGATAGAGAAGGCATACCTCCTGAGTCTTGTTAGATGACATGCTTTATTGATGGGATCCAAAGGGTAGCTACTCTACCTGGTCTCACTGGACAGAAAAAACCAAAGGTAGGTAGACCCCACAAATAACAAGACTCTATATAATATAGAGTCTTGTTATTTGTGGGGTCTACCTACCTTTGGTTTTTTCATAATGAAGAGCATTTTGAATCATACCCTAAAATCAACTAGTAACCAGAACAGTTCCCAAAACTGTGGAGTCATATGGGCATAAAAAACATGACCAATTGCCTCATCTTCCATCTGCTCCCTTGTGTCATGTTGACTCCTGTGGGAATTAGGGGGTCCTCAGCCTCAGCCACCTTCCCCATGTTTGCTGCCCAGTGAGACTTCAGTCCCTGGTATGGAGCATCCTGCAGCCGCTCTCTTAGGCTCACTGCTTGCAGCTCTGGCTTTTCAGCCCTCAGTTTGGGACATGTGCCTGCCAGCTGCGCCCCTGTCCCAGTCTGCAGCACTGCTGAGGCTTCTTAAGCCAGGTGCTCCTCCGGCTTCTTCTTCTCTTTGATTCTTTGCCTGTTGCCAACATCTTGGGTCTTTGGGCTTCCAGTGGGATCCAGGTAGGCACTACTGTGAGAATTTTTTTTTTATTATTGAAAATTTTATAAAAGTTTTACAGTATACTTCCCCCCCTCCCCAGAACCCA